CCCCAAAACCCCAAAACCCCAAAACCCCAAAACCCCAAGATTATTTTGGAAATAAAATATTATTTGTAAGGTGAGCGAACACTGCAGCTTATGAATGGTCTCTGGTCTGTTAAAGACTCCGAATTTTGGCGGTTTTAATATATTTTTAGACAGTTTGGGGGTTTAGAAAGCTGATTTTGAGTATAGATGGCAGGCGCTTCAAGTTTAGGAAAAGGGCAAAGGACTGATTTTACGAAAGAAAATAGGCATTCTCCTGGTCCAGGAGCTTATAATAGTTCTAAGATGGATGCTTCTAAGGAAAAGAAACCTACTTATTCTATACCTAAGAGCCCGAGGAAGCATTACTCAACAATGGGTGAGAAAATACCTGGGCCTGGATCATACGATATTCCCACAAAGATAGGAGGAGCTAATGTTTCATTTGGACTGAAGCACTCACATACTATTTCGAGTTCAACCCCAGGACCTGGGAACTATTCCCCAATGAAGAGTCCTAAAAACTCTTTTGGTTACTCATTTGGAATGAGGACACAGAAGGTGAATTCTTTAAAGAAAAACATCCCAGGCCCTGGAAGTTATAACTTTGATGATTCCTTTAATAAGAAGATCCATCTTTCTGGGACTTTCTCGAAGGACAAAAAGCTAGCTGATTATTCAAGATCAGCAATGAAAAACAACCCTGGACCTGGAAATTACTCACCTGATTCTGAGATATTTGATTCTGTAAGAAGGAAATCAGAAATTAAGTTTTCATCTTCTGAGAGAGATTTTGTTAAAAGAGTTAAGAATGTACTACCAGGTCCTGGAAGTTATACAATTCCAGGAGAGATCGGAAGAGAATCCCCTAAGTTTTCCTTAAGTCCTAAGAGAAAGGAGATAGACAGGAGCACAAAGCTGAGAGATTCCCCTGGTCCTTCTGATTATCATCCAGAGTACTCTTTTACTAAAAAGGATTCTCCAAAGAATGGATTTGGGTCCCAAAAACGGTTTGTGCCTAGCCCTAAAAAGAGAAAAAATCTTTCAAAGATCATTTTGAGAAATATAAATAATAAATTATCAGAGAGTATTGATCCAGATAAGGCTAGCAAAAAGTAATATAAAGTTTAATTCTGTAGAAAAAGTCCTTCTTTCAGCTTTGGAACATCCAACAGATCAAGTATTGTTAAAAGAATGCATCCAGGACCTGGAGATTATGCAATTCCTTCACAAATAGCATCAGGTAAAAGGTTTAGCATGGGAGGAAGAACAAAACTAAACAGTACTCTATTCGAGACTCCTGGCCCTGGACAGTATAATCCATCAGATAGAATCACAATAAGGAATGATCCAAAGTTTGGCATTGGGTCTTCTCAAAGACCCTCAGCTTCTACAACAAAGAACCTTCCTGGTCCTGGTGCTTACAACACAGAAAGCAATGGGAGAACAAGGTTGTTCAAAAATGGTAAATTCGGAAGTGAGGAACGGATCAAAATTAGAACAAAGATCGGCCCAGGTCCTGGATCTTACAAAATTCCGACCAAAATAGTCGAGGCACCTAGCTATTTAGTTACCAAGGACGAAAAATACGCTTTTGTATAAGCACAAGAGTTTTGATAAATAAGATACCTCAAATTAGCACCTGTATCGTTCAATATATTAATTAAGAATTGGGGTTTTGGGGTTTTGGGGTTTTGGGG